GTGGGGAATGCGGCGTGGTTCAGAATCGCATGTGATTGGCGAGGAATGCAGCGCGGTTCAGAATCGCATGTGATTGGTGGGGAATGCGGCGCGGTTCAGAATCGCTTGTGATTGGCGGGGAATGCGGTGCGGTTCAGAATCACATGTGATTGGCGGGGAATGCGGCGTGGTCAGAATCACATGTGATTGGCGGGGAATGCAGCGCGGTTCAGAATCACATGTGATTGGCGGGGAATGCGGCGCGGTTCAGAATCACATGTGATTGGCGGGGAATGTGGCGCGGTTCAGAATCACACGTGATTGGCGGGGAATGTGGCGTGGTTCAGAATCACACGTGATTGGCGGGGAATGCAGCGCGTTTCAGAATCGCATGTGATTGGCGGGGAATGCGGCACGCGGTTCAGAATCGCATGTGATTGGCGGGGAATGCGTTGAGGTTCAGAATCGCATTTGATTGGCGGGGAATGCAGCGCGTGGTTCAGAATCGCATGTGATTGGTGGGGGAATGCAGCGTGGTTCAGAATCGCATGTGATTGGTGGGGAATGCGGTGCTGTTCAGAATCGCATGTGATTGGCGGGGAATGCAGCGCGGTTCAGAATTGCATGTGATTGGTGGGGAATGCGGCGTGGTTCAGAATCGCATGTGATTTGCGGGAATGCAGCGCGGTTCAGAATCGCATGTGATTGGTGGGGAATGCGGAGCGATTCAGAATCCCGTGTGATTGGCGGGGAATGCGGCGCGGTTCAGAATCACATGTGATTGGCGGGGAATGCGGCGCGGTTCAGAATCACATGTGATTGGCGGGGAATGCAGCGCGGTTCAGAATCACATGTGATTGGCGGAGAATGCGGCGCGGTTCAGAATCACATGTGATTGGCGGGGAATGCGGCACGGTTCAGAATCACATGTGATTGGTGGGGAATGCGGCACGGTTCAGAATCACATGTGATTGGCGGGGAATGTGGCGCTGTTCAGAAATCACACGTGATTGGCGGGGAATGCAGCGCGTTTCAGAATCGCATGTGATTGGCGGGGAATGCGGCACGGTTCAGAATCGCATGTGATTGGCGGGGAATGCGGTGAGGTTCAGAATCGCATGTGATTGGCGGGGAATGCGGCACGGTTCAGAATCGCATGTGATTGGCGGGGAATGCGGTGAGGTTCAGAATCGCATTTGATTGGCGGGGAATGCGGCGCGGTTCAGAATCACATGTGATTGGCGGGGAATGCAGCGTGGTTCAGAATCGCATGTGATTGGTGGGGAATGCGGTGCTGTTCAGAATCACATGTGATTGGCGGGGAATGCAGCGCGGTTCAGAATTGCATGTGATTGGTGGGGAATGCGGCGTGGTTCAGAATCGCATGTGATTGGCGGGGGAATGCAGCGTGGTTCAGAATCGCATGTGATTGGCGGGGAATGCAGCGCGGTTCAGAATCGCATGTGATTGGTGGGGAATGCGGAGCGGTTCAGAATCCCATGTGATTGGCGGGGAATGCGGCGCGGTTCAGAATCACATGTGATTGGCGGGGAATGCGGCGCAGTTCCTGCACGAATCACATGCGATATACGGAGCCGCGTGTATGTGAATCCGGGGAGGGCGAGGAGAAGAATCCGGCTTTCAGCTGCTGCAGGGGGAGCCATACAGGGGATCGGTTCCAGTGTCCCCCCCGTCATGCTGATCACCCTCCCTGCCCACATCCCAATCACCCAGCTCCCTGGGCCCCCTGCTGGCTGGGGCCCCGTACAGGAGGACTGGTGGTGCCCCCCGTATCCCCGGCCCGGCCTCCATGTGAGGCTGCTAGATGTAGAATGCAATGACAGGACGACTTTCTATACATCAGATATCGGATCGCAGGATCGGGGTGACGGGAGGAAATGGTTGGTTTATAGATTTATTGATTCGATTATATTGTCCATTTTATACAGATTCATTGAGGACATTCTCTATCACTCCAGCCCCGGAGAAGCAGCGGAGGGGGGGGCATGAAACGCGTCGACTTCTATGTGTGTCGATGTTCATGTTGTTCGATCTCTACAGGAGCTTTACGTCTTTATTATAACGTTCTGTAACGGTCGAACATTTTCTGCTTCCATTGTAACACATTCAATGAAAAGATCGATCTTACGGATATTTAAAACCCAAAAACAAAAAATGTGTGAAATTGCAGCTTTCCAGCGTTTGGACGTGTTGGGCTGTTCAGGATTTGTTCCCGATGGCCTGGTGATCCTGCCAGTAAGTCTGTTATCTTTCAGCATCCCTTTAATTGTTCCTCCAGGGAATATACAGATTGGATGAAGTGAATGTCTCCTGATATCGGCCGGCACAGGTCAGGAGATATTTTCATTTTATTTGAGCCGACACGTCCGCTGTGATGGAACCCCATACCTGTGCGTTCTTTCAGAGCTGTGTGCCGTGGCCCCGGACTCCTGCGCACATGTGCCGTGGCCCCAGACTCCTGCGCACATGTGCCGTGGCCCCAGACTCCTGCGCACATGTGCCGTGGCCCCAGACTCCTGCGCACATGTGCCGTGGCCCCAGACTCCTGCGCACATGTGCCGTGGCCCCAGACTCCTGGGCACATGTGCCGTGGCCCCAGACTCCTCTGCACATGTGCCGTGGCCCCGGACTCCTGCACACATGTGCCGTGCCCCACACACATGTGCCGTGGCCCCGGACTCCTGCACACATGTGCCGTGGCCCCGGACTCCTGCTCACATGTGCAGGAGTGACGTCATTGCGCCCCGGCCTGTCAGATGGTCGGAGGGAAGAGCGGGTGCAGATGGAATCCTTTACAGAGGTGAGAGCGAGTCGCTGGAGGGATTTGTTTGAAGGTAAGTTTTACATAATGTGCCAGGAAGTGAAGCCTCATTGTATTCCATGCCTCGCTGTGTGCAATGCCAACTGCATCAAACTGCATCCCACCACAGCCAACTGCATCCACCTGCATCCCACCACAGCCAACTGCATCCAACTGCATCCCACCACAGCCAACTTTATCCCACCACAGACAACTGCATCCCACCACCACAGCCAACTGCATCATACCACATCCCACCACAAGCCACACTGCATCCCACCGCAGCCAACTGCATCCAACTGCTCCCACCACAGCAATCCTACTGCATCCCAACAGCCAGCTCCCACACAGCCAACTGCATCCCACCGCAGCCAACTGCATCCCACCGCAGCCAACTGCATCCTACAACGCATCCCACCAGCCAAGCATCCAACTGCATCCCACCGCAGCCAACTTTGCATCCCACCACAGCCAACTGCACCACCTCCAACTGCACCACATCCCACCACACCACTGCATCCCACCACAGCCAACTGCATCCCACCGCAGCCAAACTGCATCCAACTGCATCCTACTGCATCCCCACACAGCTAACTGCATCCCACCGCAGCCAACTGCATCCCACCGCAGCCAACTGCACTGCATCCTACCGCATGCCCACCACAGCCAACTGCATCCCACCAGCGCAGCCAACTGCATCCCAACCGCAGCCTACTGCATCCCAACACAGCTAACTGCATCCATCCAACCGCATCCCAACACAGCTAACTGCATCCCACCGCAGCCATCTGCATCCCACTGCATTAGGTGTGAATGGGCCCTTAGTCTTGGTGGAGCGATGGCGGGCGGTGGGGAGGAGTCGGGTCGGCTCCCATCACTTGATCGAGTCGCAGTGCGGTGAAATTTCGGTAATATGTTTGTTATTAGGATTGCCATCCCATCCTGATAAATGACATTCACGTCGCATGTGGCCGGCCGACTCTAATCGCATTATTCTTTTGTCTTTAAAATGCATTTTTATGATGATTTTAATGCAGCCGCCAGGGAGGAGGTTACTCAGAATGGCACTCCGGACCCGTGCCGGGCTCCACCTCTCATCGATTTCTCCTTCTCCTCTGTAGGAAGTTCTGGCCGACGAGCGACACCAAGGAGGACAGCTCCTGGAAGAACCAAAGTTGCTGCATTTCAAGGGGAATACCTTCAGCATCCAGATTTCAGTTCTCGACATCCCGCCGTTCCTCTGGAGGATCAAACCATTTACTGCATGTCAGGTATGACACCCACTTGTGTTTCCTGCTATAGATCGCTCTTCATCCCCGCCAGACGCGCGCCACTGTGGCACCAACAATCTGCCCTTTTTTTTACTTCATTCCCATTGATTTATTACTAATGTATTTAGAGCTGTTGGGAGGCTATCAGATGTGCAGCCATAACGATTATTAGGCGTCTGCTGCCAGGAGTCGCCGGAAATTCAACGCGGAAAATGCTGTCAGCAAATCCAGCCATTCAGAGGAGAAGTCAGCAGACGAGAAGTTCTTGTGTTTCTTAAAGTCACCTTGTCCTAAAATTATGCTGGAGAGTTAAATCCCTCCTCCGGCCTGCCCCTCAGTGTTGCACAGGTGTACCGACTCCTCCCCTTCAGGGTTGCACAGGTGTACCGGCTCCTCCCCTCAGTCTTGCACAGGTGTACCGGCTCCTCCCCTCAGTCTTGCACAGGTGTACGGGCTCCTCCCCTTCAGTCTTGCTCAGTTGTACGGGCTCAGTCTTGCACAGTTGTGTCAGCTCCTCCCCTTCAGTCTTGCACAGGTGTACCCACTCCTCCCCTTCAGTCTTGCACAGTTGTATCAGCTCCCTCCCCTTCAGTCTTGCACAGGTGTACTGGCTCCTCCCCCTCAGTCTTGCACAGATTTACTGGCTCCTCCCCTTCAGTCTTGCACAGGTGTACTGGCTCCTCCCCCTCAGTCTTCCACAGGTGTACTGGCTCCTCCCCTCCTCCCCTTCAGTCTTGCACAGGTGTACTGGCTCCTCCCCCTCAGTCTTGCATAGGTGTACCGGCTCCTCCCAGTCAGTCTTGCACAGGTGTACCGGCTCCTCCCCTCAGTCTTGCACAGGTGTTCAGGCTCCTCCCCTCAGTCTTGCACAGGGTGTACCAGGTGATCCTCCCCTCAGTCTTGCACAGGTGTACTGGCTCCTCCCCCTCAGTCTTCAACAGGTGTACCAGCTTCTCCCCTCCAGTCTTACACAGGTGTATCGGCTCCTCCCCTCAGTCTTGCACAGGTATAACGGCTCCTCCCCTCAGTCTTGCTCAGTCTTGCACAGGTGTACCAGCTCCTCCCCTTCAGTCTTGCTCAGTTGTATCAGCTCCTCCCCTCAGTCTTGCACAGGTGTAACGGCTCCTCCCCCCCTCAGTCTTGCACAGGTGTACCAGCTCCTCCCCTTCAGTCTTGCACAGGTGTACCAGCTCCTCCCCTCAGTCTTGCACAGGTGTACCGGCTCCTCCCCTTCAGTCTTGCACAGGTGTTCAGGCTCCTCCCATTCAGTCTTGCACAGGTGTATCAGCTCCTCCCCTTCAGTCTTGCACAGGTGTACCAGCTCCTCCCCTTCAGTCTTGCACAGGTGTACCAGCTCCTCCCCTTCAGTCTTGCACAGGTGTAGCCTCCATTTCCTGTTCTTACCTGACAGGAGTGACACCCGTGGTGGTCTTCTGCTGCTGTAGTCCATCTGCTTCAAGGTTGGACGTGTTGTGCATTCAGAGATGGTATTCTGCATACCTTGGGTGTAATGAGGGGTTATTGGAGTTCCTGTTGCCTTTCTATTCTCTGGAACCAGTCTGCACATTCTCCTCTGACCTCTGACCTCAACAAGGCATTTTCCTCCACACAACTGCCACTCACTGGATATTTTCTCTTTTTCGGACCATTCTCTGTAATCCTAGAGATGGTTTTGCGGGAAAATCCCATCAGATCAGCAGTTTTTAAAATCCTCAGACCAGCCCTTCCAGCACCAACAACTGAGTTCAAAGTCACTTAAATCCCCTTTCTTCCCCATTCTGATGCTCGGTTTGAACTTCAGCAAGTCATCCTCACCACATCTAGATGTCTAAATGAATTGAGTTGCTGCCATGTGATTGGCTGATTAGCAATTTGTGTTACCAAGCAATTGAACAGGTGGACCTAATAATGGGGCCGGTGAGTGTATTTGCAAATGTTGTGCAACTAAATTCTCTGTTTTTAATGCGAATTGTTAGTAATTTGGACCCGGTGCATGCGCAGATGTGCCACAGGGCTCTCTCGGCACACAGGCCTTGGACATATGCAGGGGGAGGGGTGAAATACTCGACCTGACAAGAATGGCGGAAGTTCTGCTATGCAAAGCAAACAAATAAAGCTCTTAACCCCTTCCAGTCCGGACACTTCACCCCCTTCCAGTCCGGACACTTCACCCACTTCCAGTCCGGACACTTTTCCCCCCTTCCAGTCCAGACACTTCCCCCCCCTTCCAGTCCGGACACTTCCCCCACTTCCAGTCCGGACACTTCCCCCACTTCCAGTCCGGACACTTCCCCCACTTCCAGTCCGGACACTTCCCCCACTTCCAGTCCGGACACTTCCCCCACTTCCAGTCCGGACACTCCCCCCCTTCCAGTCCAGACACTTCACCCCCTTCCAGTCCGGACACTTTCCCTCCCTTCCAGTCCGGACACTTTCCCCCCACTTCCATTCCGGACACTTTTCCCCCCTTCCAGTCCAGACACTTTCCCCCCCTTCCAGTCCGGACACTTCCCCCACTTCCAGTCCGGACACTTCCCCCACTTCCAGTCCGACACTTTCACACCCCCTTCCAGTCCGACACTTTCACCCCCTTCCAGTCCGGACACTTTCCCCCCCTTCCAGTCCGGACACTTTCACCCCCTTCCAGTCCGGACACTTTCCCCCCTTCCAGTCCGGACACTTTCCCCCATTCCAGTCCGGACACTTTCCCCCCTTCCAGTCCGGACACTTTCCCCCCCTTCCATCCCGGACACTTTCCCCCCCTTCCAGTCCGGACACTTTCCCCCCTTCCAGTCCGGACACTTTCCCCCCCTTCCGGTCCGGACTGTCTTGGAAATTTGCTTTTAACGAATTTCTCCTTACCGTGAGTACTCGCAGTTGGATGCGCAGAAATCCCCCATAAAGCTGTGCGAATCTCGCTCTCCACGACTGCAGCTAAACTACACAATTCCTGCCCCTCCAACTGGGTTAGCTCTGTTGAGATGTGGGGAATTGGAGCTCCGTTACCCAGGAATGATCAGGCGACACTCTCAGGTTGATGTTTGAATTCACATAAGGGCCGATCTGACTCCAGCCTCGGATTTTTATTTACAAGCAGACACACGTCCCCCCACATGAATAAGGTCAATCCCCTCCCACCGAACAATGCAATGGGGAGTGTCTATACACAGAATGTACATTCCGATTGGAGCGTAGCCTTTCCTATTATCTATCAACGGTCCTCCCCCATGAGCCCTCTGAGGTCAGCAGACTTCCTCCCCTTCCCCCCATGAGCCCTCTATGGAGAGCATACTTCCTGTCCTACTAGCTCCTATTGGTATGCAAATTCCTTGTACAAGCATCCCCCAGGCTAAACACCAGTCTGTACCTGGATGGGCCCGATACGATCTTTATTAAAACACATCCATCCAGATACAGTTCAGGTCGGTAATGGGTTGTAAGATATACATGAGTCTACAAGCGGAGTTTGTACTGCTTGGCGCCTTGCGGCACGGAGTCCATGTGGTACTATGCTGCTGATATGTGGATACAGGCCCGTTAACCGCGCGGCCTACCGCCGGCGGCATTCGCATCGAATGGTGGTATACACGCCGGTCTATAAGAGCAGATCTGCCATCTCATCCATTACCGAGCTGAGTACTGTAATACATACATTGTACATGGCATGGCCCAATTGCAGCCTTCAGAGCTTTAATTATACACACCAGAGACATATGAATAACACTCATATATGACACATTTAAAGTTCAACCAACAATACAAATTTCCATGACACCCCCCTTCCAGTCTGGACACTTTCCCCCCCTTCCGGTCCGGACACTTTCCCCCCCTTCCAGTCCGGACACTTTCCCCCCTTCCAGTCCGGACACTTTCACTCCCTTCCAGTCTGGACACTTTCACCCCCTTCCAGTCCGGACACTTTCACCCCCTTCCAGTCCGGACACTTTCCCCCCCTTCCAGTCTGGACACTTTCCCCCCCTTCCAGTCCGGACACTTTCCCCCCCTTCCAGTCCGGACACTTTCCCCCCCTTCCAGTCCGGACACTTCCCCCCCCTTCCAGTCCGGACACTTCCCCCCCTTCCAGTCCGGACACTCCCCTTTCACTTTCCCCCCCTTCCAGTCTGGACACTTTCCCCCCCTTCCAGTCTGGACACTTTCCCCCCCTTCCAGTCCGGACACTTTCCCCCCTTTCCAGTCCGGACACTTTCCCCCCCTTCCAGTCCGGACACTTTCCCCCCCTTCCAGTCCGGACACTTTCCCCCCCTTCCAGTCCGGACACTTTCCCCCCTTCCAGTCCGGACACTTCCCCCCCTTCCAATCTGGACACTTTCCCCCCCTTCTGGTCCGGACACTTTCCCCCCCTTCCGGTCCGGACACTTTCCCCCCCTTCCAGTCTGGACACTTCCCCCCCTTCCAGTCCGGACACTTTCACCCCCTTCCGGTCCGGACACTTTCCCCCCCTTCCTGTCCGGACACTTTCCCCCCTTCCAGTCTGGACACTTTCCCCCCCTTCCAGTCCGGACACTTTCACCCCCTTCCAGTCCGGACACTTTCCCCCCTTCCAGTCCGGACACTTTCACCCCCCTTCCAGTCCGGACACTTTCACCCCCTTCCAGTCCGGACACTTCCCCCCCCCTTCCAGTCAGGACACTTTCATCCCCCTTCCAGTCCGGACACTTTCACCCCCTTCCAGTCCAGACACTTCCCCCCCCCTTCCAGTCCGGACACTTTCATCCCCCTTCCAGTCCGGACACTTTCACCCCCTTCCAGTCCGGACACTTTCACCCCCCTCCAGTCCGGACACTTTCACCCCCTTCCAGTCCAGACACCCCCCCCCCCCCCTTCCTGTCCAGGCCAATTTTCAGCTTTCAGCGCTGTCACACTTTGAATGACAATTGCGCGGTCATGCAACACTGTACCCAGATGAATTTTTTAGCATTTTTTGAGACAGATAAAGATTTATTTTGGTGGTATTTATTCACGGCTGGGATTTTTATTTATTTTTTGCTATGTAAATGAAAAAGTCCAAAAATTTTGAAAAAAAGTGTTTTTCTTATCAAATTTTGCAAATAAATAATATTTCATCATAAATCTCGTCCAACATTTATTCCGTAATCTTTTTAGTAAAAAAAATATTCCAAATTTGTTTATAACCAAAAATTATAATTTAAAAAAAATATATATTTTTTTATATTATTATTTATGTTTTTTTTTTACATACTGTCACCCTAGCAGTGTGGGGTCACCATGGTGACACTGTACTACTTGTGGGGGGGTGATGAAGATTTTTTTTTTTTTTACACTGATTGCTTTTACTCCCATAAAGGCTGTAAGAGGAATCATTTCTCCTTCTCTCTGGCTGCATTCTTGTAGCCATTGAGAACTACTGTGTGAGCTGTGATTGGTCACAGCTTAACACATGGTACAAGGCTATTGTGAATGGCCCTGTACTATGTGATCTCTGTGATCATTCACAGATTTCACACGTAGTAAGCAATGTCAGGAAGTGACATCTTGCTTACTACTCTGCATGTGATCACTGATTGGCCAATCATTGATCACATAATCAAGACCTCACACAGAGGTCCCGTTCGATGATCATTGTTCCACTGTGTCTGCAGGATACAGAGGGCACCAGATTGCGGTGCTGCACGCTCCCAGGGAGTGCGCAGAAGCAGGGGGCGGGGAAGCCGTTTATAAACACCCACCCGCCCCTGCACTGGTTTATATACAACGGCCGGACGGGAAGTGGTTAAGAAAAAAATGTAAAGGGGAGGAGAGGCGATTGGGCAGCTTTGCGCACTCTTCAGGGTGAAGATCCACTACTACATTCAGTGAATGGGGATGTGCTGCAACTACCAGCCAGGCACTTGACTTGAATCAAGAGGTGGCAGTACTGCCTCCTTTCACTGCCCTCTAAAAAGTAATCCACCTTAGATCGCTTTTCATGGGGCAGTAAGCACTACCACCAGTGTGAGAGGAACCTCTACTGTAGCTACTTGGGGCGGTTGCGGTTGTTTTTCACAGTGCAGCTGCTCTCGGTGCCTCCGGAACCCTCCAAAGGATCACTGATATCACTTCTCATTACAAAGTTAGGAACAAACACTGAAGTAGAAATGAGTCAATAAGATGGTTTTTTTTTTGGTTGTTTTTGCTTTTTAAAAGTTAATGTGAGAAATCCCCATTTTTTTTATGTTCAATCTGCTCACCAGTAATGTAAACCATTTTTGCATTATAGAGCCATAAAAGTTTTTTTTGTTTTAGGACTCTACTGTAAATAAAATAGCAATTTCCTCCACTTCTATCCCTATAAGAACATAAACGTAAAGGGAATTGAAGGTGCAAATCATGAAACAATATCTGTCAGATGTATAAGAATAGGAGAGATAACGGGAAGCAAAAATCATCTTTAGTTTCTGGAAATAAAACTGGAAGTGAAATACTGCAAATTGAAATCCCGTTCCCTGCACC